TGGAGAGAGGTGAGGGTCCGAATCTCTGCGGGGAGTTCGTTCCAAAGGGCCGGAGCAGCCACAGAGAAGGCCCTCCCATGGGTAAGTAGCCAGATGACATTGGCCAGTAGATGGAACCCGGAGGAGGCCTAATCTGTGGGATCTAATGGGCCTTAAATCCATTTGTCATCTCTTATCTGGCCAAGACAGAGACTAAGTGTAGCAAAGGCTGCCCAGATTCACTGGGGTCTCCAGGGCCGCTTTTGACCTGATGTTGGAAAAGACCCTCCACATCTGCAGGTTGGTCGGACACCGTGATTCTCCGACGGAAGTTCTGCCCCAGCAAGATGTAGATGAAAGGGTTAAGGCAGCTGCTGGCATAACCCAGGCTGATGGCCACATTGTAGGCGTAGTAGAAGGGCAAGGTGGGCTCGACGGCCAGTTGGACGAGCTGTAGGGCGTGGAAGGGAGCCCAACACAAGAAGAAGGCCAGGCAGATGGCGATGGCGATGCGCGTCACTCGTTTGATCCGGAGCTGGGTGCCTCTTTGCCTGGTCAGGGCTTCAGAAGACCTGGCCATCTTCAGGAGGATTCTCTGGTAGGCCACAGTGATGACCGTGAAGGGGATGGCGAACGCGAGGAAGAACTGGTAGAGGGTATACCAGTAGATGTCCCTCTGGGGATCCGGCAGACGTATCCCGCAGCCCAGGAGCTCACCTGGCAAGGGAATGAGCTGGGCGTACATCCAGACGGGCGTGATGCTGAGAAAGGAGAGGGCCCAGAGGAGGCAGATGGCCGCGATCGCCATAGAGGGCTTCCTGAAGCGGGTGGAGGAGAAAGGATAGACGGTCGCCAAGTAGCGGTCAATGGACATGGCGGTGAGGATGTAAGTGCTGGTGAACTGGCTGTTGGCATCCAAAGCAGTGATGATGGTACACATGGTCCCTCCGAATTTCCAGCTCCCTTGGCCCAAGAGCTGGTGGATGAGGAAGGGCATCCCCAGGAGGAAGAGGAGGTCCACCAAGGAAAGATTGACGATGAAGATATCGGGCACGGTGCTGCCTGGGCTGGATTTCTTCAAGACGGCGCAGATCACCAGGCTGTTGCCAACGACGCCCACCAGGCAGATGATACCAAAGAGGGTGGACATGATAACGGTCGAATAGCTCGTGGAGCCAAGGTCACCTGTGAAGGAAGAGGAGAGAAAGAGGGGACTTGAAGTGCCACGTTCAAGAATCCTCAGCTAAAAGCTGGATCACCAGAGCTTGAGATGACCACCGATGGTCCCAGATCAGATTCCTGGAACTTTGGAGCTACCATTCCATGTCCAGATCATCACAAGAGAGTGAAAGCATCACAGTGTCAGGCCCGCAGCCATATTTGCTTGTGGATCTCAGGTCTGCCACACTTTCCGTTATTCTACTATGCATTTTCTATTGTGTGAAAATGGGAGGGGGGATTGTACGGAGTTAGATGAGAGGTAGCCATAACACAATTCTTTCTAGAAAGCCAAGGTCATCTTTTGTCTTTGCACCTGGCCAGAATTGGATGGGTGGAAAGCTGCCAGCGTGGCAGTGGGAGATTGGACCTTGTGATGGGACTTGTGGGGGGGGGGGGGCAAGATCTTGAACTTCCAACTGGGTGGGGAAAAACGGGAAGCTTCCAGATTCGGGTTTTCCCAGATGTGCCAAGATGGCTCTCTTAATAAATTGGAACTTTGAGCAATACTTTGCCTTGGACTCTGATTTAATTTTGGATGCTATTTGGAACCCTGACATACGGAGGACAGAAGGAAAGGAGGGACATGATTGAAACCTTTAACTACATTAAGAGAGTGAATAAGATTTTAAAACAAAGATCTCCAAACTTGGCAACTTTATGACTTGTGGACTTCAACTATAAAAATGGCTGACTAAGGAATGCTGGGAGTTGAAGTCTGTGGACCCAGAATTCCTCAGTATAAAATTTAAGGAATTGTGAGCAAAACATGCATGGTGTTTTCTAATTATTAGCTTGGAATTCTGGGAGTTGAACTCCACAGGTCATAAAGGGGGGGGAGAGGGTCATTATTATCTCCTATTTTGGAGCAGAGCTCTGAAGACCCCCATTGATTTCAAGATACTTAAATCCAATCTCCCCTTTGAAGCCAAACTCCATAGCTGCTGCCTTTTGGTCTAAAGGAGCTTTCTGTGCGTGCCCAGAAACTCTTTTCCATCAGCTTTCAACCGCCCGCTCCATCAGTTTGACTTCTTTTGATGCTTAAGAGAGATCAGGTGCTTTCGGTCCAGGGATCACCTTGAATTCAATTGCACCAACCGGCTAGATTAAAGGACCAAGCAGGATAATTCCTGAGCCAAGGTGGCACAGTGGTTAAAGTGCAGTACTGCAGCCACTTCAGCTGACTGCTAGCTGCAGTTCGGCAGTTCAAATCTCACCGGCTCAAGGTCGACTCAGCCTTCCATCCTTCCGAGGTGGGTAAAATGAGGACCCGGATTGTTGTTGGGGGCAATATGCTGA